TTTGAATTACGTAGAAATTTTCACAAATAGAAAAAAATTTATTAAAGTTTGCTAGAAACTGCATACAACAACAACAACAAAAAATGCTTTCAATTGAGTTAAAAATTAAAAATTGAACTTAGATCAAACTCATAACTTAGAAGGTAATTTTCGTTTTTTAAATAAAATATAATACAAAATATTGTAAACTTTTATAAGATTTTAAAAAGCAAAGATGATCAATACTCCGATCACTCACTCTAATTCTTATTTTAGTAATGAAAAGCTTTGCTACCGAGAATGCCCTTTCTGATTCAATTGATTTGATGTTTAATGCATTTAAGAGAAGACAGATATTATGTGTTTTTTCACCTGTAGCCTGGAAGATTTCAAGTTCGTTTGAGATTGTAGTACTTCTTTTGCTCTCTAGTATTTTTTATTTGTCTACCTCAGCTGCTTTAATAGCAGCATCAATCTTATAGCTCAATAATTTGGCAATTTGTTTGGCTTTAATAATCAGGTGTATGAAGAAAAACTTCATACTTGCAGACTTTATACTCGTTTGTATCTTTGCCCAATTTGCACAATCTGGCGTTACGCATTTATTGAAGTTACTGGGCATGGTTAAAAATTAAGACAGCGTAAACACAATTATTCCATATATTACAGGTTCTGACAAGTAAAGAATTTTCAGAGTCCTGCCACAAATAAGCTATGTATTGATTATTGACCATTTGTGACATGCCATAACGAGCAAAAATTTAAAAAAAACTAATAGGTAGGTTTAAAATTAATAAATACAAATGTATTCTGACAGTGAATGAGATAATTATGCTTTCTGTTTGCAAAATTTCTTAACCTTAACACAAAAGAAAAAAAGTGAATTTTTAAGAAATTTGCGGGATTTCCCGGGATAAGAAAAATTTCCCAAGATATTTCCCAGGTTAAAAAAATAACTGGGATCCCAGAATCCTGTTTGAGAAACACTAGTATAAAGAGATTTGCATATATTTATGTACAAAAAATCATGTCAAACATGGGAAAAGGTGTAAAACTGACAGAGAAAGAATAAGGGCAAATTGATATTTTATACAAAACTACTGTGCTGTAGTTGCCCAAATAGGAAGATGTTTTCAGCAATGTGCTTTGTTAATACCAAATAGCATTTTTTTAATTTTTATTTTATTTTAAGTATTTATAATTTTTTGAAGCAAGAAATCTCTGTGTAAAAAAACTGAGTTTGTTTTAAGAAACTGTTAACTGAAAAGCAAGTAAGAAAACCACATTGAGCAGATTTTAAATTCAGATTCTTTGTTTTTTAATTAAAATTTCAAGTTTATTTTGTTCTCCTTTCAATAAACTAGAACATCATGATATGACATCATGAAACTTTGTCATATCACAATAGAATTAAGGCAGAGCTGGAAAAAAGAGGCAATCCCTGCACCTGGAGGATGTGGACAGGTAAACTTTGCACTTGCTACCACAAAAAAAAGCTTTCCTTGTACCTGCTGGCAATGGGTGACACGATCCTTGCACTGGCCAACATGGAGAGGCACTTCATTTTTGCACCTATTTTCCATTAGGCACATGCAATGCTAATGCTGCTTTTATTTTTGATCCCTAGGCCTAAATTCCATTGGTGCAATCAGTCACATCAGGGAGTATGGACATTGTCACTTTAATACCTCAGTATATTGAAAATGAAGTCAAGGACTCCTATTTTTTACACTTAAATAGACCCCTGTTACATTTTTGGATTCCTCATCACAATTAATTGAAAATAGCAACGTTTTATTGAAATTGGCCCATTAAATTTTGGGAATGAACTTGATTCTATAAGCCCACAGAAGACATGTAAGAGACTGTGAAACATTGCATGACAAAGTCACACAATTTGTGCAATATTGATCGTAAAATGACCTTATATCTCAAACAAAGTCATGGACCTTCATCTTTTATTATACTTTTGGATTTCCTGCATTCCTCATCACAACTAATGGAAAATGGCAAAGTTTAATCAAAATCAATCAAACAGATTTTAAGAACAAAGACAATTCTGTAAGCCACATAGAAGAGGCTTCACTAATGCTCTGCCTTAAAAATGTTTTTAATATGAAAGTCTATATACACGTAGAAAATAAAATGTGAGATGTATTCTTTCACAGCAGTGAATTTTGGTGGATATAATATGCCAGGATACCAAAGAGTGTTTTTTAGTAGCCATAAGTGATTGTTCTGCCAAAACATTAAAGAAGAAAATTTGAAATAACATTAAAGAAGGAAGCATAATATATTCTGACTATTGGAAAGCCTATAAAAAAAAGACAAGTTAGTAGAAACCAAAAAATGACCATTTTCAAGTAAATCATAAGTATAAGTATAAGTGTGGACCATAATACAGGCTGTCCTACTCAAAATATAGAAAGGCTGTGGGGAATTGTGAAATAAAGTTCATTGTGGAACTTCACATAACCATTTATATTCATATCTAATAGAATTTATGTGGTGCAGACAACATTCCAAAAATGAACTGTTTACAGCAATATTAATCTATTCGATGTTGAAATTTTTATTTGTTGCCTGTGATGCCATGTTGGATTTTCGTCAATGTTAAGCCTAAAAAAAATTTTTTTAAAATAATAATCGTGTTTACTGCATCATTAAAAATTATTTTTTTATGTTGCACAAACAAAATAAATATATTGAATAATATAGAAACAAAAAAAATTATATATTAAAAGTTTGTTTTAATATAAAAATTGTGACGCACAGCAACATCTAGTATCAAAAAATGTTCCGATGTAAACACTAATATTTTCGGGAACAATGTAGGACAGGTTAAATGACATATCCAAATTTGTCATCCATTTGATATGGCGAATGTTTGCATAATGTTTTTCTTTGTAATTCAATTTTGTCGAAAGTGTTTTTTTGTATTATTATTATATAAATATTTATTTCAATATGTATAAAATACAAAATAAAGTAACAATTTCACTAAAATTTACTGAAAATGACTGGCATCCAGTTAACCAAAGAGCACCCACCAGAGTAAGGTGTTAAAAGCAAAGCCATATTGACCAGATTGGAGTTGTTCTTGGTCTACTGTTCTCTTATAATTTGGAGACATTTGGATCTAAACAAATGAGTTAACATATGCATATAACAGTTCAAACAGAATTTTCACTTCAAATTTTGAACTAACCAAATTCTTTAACATATAAATCTCTATATCCCCAGCAAGAACAAAAGTACAGTTATGAATTAATGGTATTTCAAACTCTCCAAGTTTGAATTAAAGAGGATTTCCTGTGTGTGTGTGGGTGTGGGTGTGTACACATTTTTGAAACTGATGACTTCTAATACAAAATAAAATAAATTAAGAATATTTCTTCACTTAATTGGCAATGAATTTTAATGCTAAGAAAATCAATATATAGTTCAACATCTTTCTTGTTTTGTTTAAAATGTTCAATGAAGTAAATTTGACTTAATTTCAGCATCATCATCATTACATATTTTGTAATATAAAAAGAATGATATGAACCAACAATATAAAACACAAATGTCAGATATGGTAGCTATTATATACGATTGGAATGTAAATCTCTTTAATCCGAATAAATTCAACACGGTAGATTTCCTCTCAGCTATCAGGTTAGGCAATCCTTTATTGCAATTCACAAATGCGTTTCGAGCTTAAACAAAATCTAAGCCCTCTTCAGTATAAATGCTACGTATATTAAAGGAACAAAAAATTAGTTAATTCACCAATTTTTATGCATGAAGATCATCATTACAGACAAAATAACTTTTTACATACCTCAGAAGGCAGAGCAGCACTTTTTTAAATTATACAGATACACTTAGCTATGTTTTTTTTTAAAAAACTAAAAAACATGAGTGTGTATCTGGTGACCAAGTACAAAGATACAATAAAATTTTATGTTAAAATCCGTAGATATACATTTTTCCATAAAAATATCACAATAGTAACAACTTGATATTTTTGTACTTAAAATACCTTGCATGGTATTGTTATATTTTAAACCATGGCACATCTTTTAAACCGCTATCAGAAACTGCAATTAAAGTGGCAGTTTTACTGGTTATAGATAAATGATTTAACAATTTTAGAAAAAAAACTATGCATACTTAATGTTTTCACTACTTTTTAAAGTTTTTTTTTTTTTTATAAAAAACTAAGGCACATTCTTTAAAACACTATCAAAACAGCTGCAATTAAAATAACAGTTTTACAAGATATAAGTAAATAAACTCTCCAAGTTTATTTACTTATATCAAACTAACTTTTAAGTTAGTTTGAAGAGTTTACTTATATCTTACATCAAATTTTATTGTATCTTTGTACTTGGTCACCAGATACACACTCATGTTTTTTAGTTATTTAAAAAAAAACATAGCTAAGTGTACCTGTATAATTTAAAAAAGTGCTGCTCTGCCTTCTGAGGTATGTAAAAAGTTATTTTGTCTGTAACAATGATCTTCATGCATAAAAATTGGTGAATTAACTAATATTTTGTTCCTTTAATATAGGTAGCATTTATACTGAAGAGGGGCTTAGATTTTGTTTAAGCTCGAAATGCATTTGTGAATTGCAATAAAGGATTACCTAACCTGATAGCTGAGAGGAAGTCTACCGTGTTGCATTTATTCGGATTAAAGAGACATAAATTCCAATTCCAATATAAAACAATTATATGAGTTATGAATACATACACTTACATAATAGTTATTTCATATTATTAGCTCAGTTATGTTATTTTCTATGAATTGCAAAAAAATTTCAAATGAAATGTACTATTAAATTAATTAAAAATATATAATTATATACAAATAGTTATATCATATCATACTTAATCATTTTATATATTAAATAAAATAATTAATAAAATTTGTTATTAAAATCTTTTTTCTTGATAAAATTATGTTCACAAAAAATGGAATGTAGTGTGTTAACATATTATTTACAGAAATTAATAAATATTAATACTTACATGTTCTTATTTGTTTCTGTTCTTCAAATGCAGGTTTACGAAATGCTTCACCAAAGAACCATACAAAATTAACAAACCACAAAAAGGGAAGCATAAAATATCCACCTAAATAAATACAATTGGTTATTTTAAAAATATGTGTATGAAAGACATAAAAACTATATTCTTTATAAAGATAAAACATTTATATAAAACTTTGGTAACAACAAAATATTAATGTTTTAAATCAAATATAAAATATTGACTAACAATAATCTAAATGAATTAAAAATGTATTATCTAAATTAATTATAAAGCTAAATACAATGCAATTATATTTTTCAAATTTAAAAAATTACTCTTTATATATTTTATATTATTTTGTATTTAACGTGCATCTTTTATCATGGTTTTATTTACATCTATTTTATATTTCATAAATACATGAAAAAATTTGAAATAATTCAAAAAATAACTAAACCATTAAAATTCTTAAATATTATAAACTATAAACGTTTAAAATTTAAATATCATTTATCTACTCATAATATTTTCAACTCTAGTACAAATAGCTTTTCACAATGCAAGTGATTATCTCAACTGTTTCTGAACATAACCATATTCCAATATTCTAACTTTTTCGTTTTTAATACTTTACATCATTGAATAATAAAAGATCTTTATATACATACGTGTGTGTGTGTGTGTGTGTGTGTGTGTGTGTGTGTGTGTGTTAGGCTCAAAAACCAACACTCATTGAGCAAAAAAATCTACCGCAATGCATTCTGACTTCTTGGATCCTGCCACAATGTGAATTTTGTGTTGTGGCACTTTCAAAAATGCACATAATACGATTTTGCATATTTAATAAGTCCACAAAGAGAAATTTGTGTTGAGATTTTATTTAATAATCAACCAAAATGCAATTTGGCAATGTGAAAATATCCCAATGCATTGTGGATGCTTATTAAAGTAGCTATGATGCAATGTGATAAAATATTTGTGCAAAAATAAGTAACAAATTTTTTTATTACTCAAAATAAAATAGTTACTGCATATTTAATGATTACATGTTTAAAATAAAATCAAATTCTAATCTACATTGAGTATTTTAACAAAAATAAGCAGTTAACCTCATTAATCTTATGTCTAAGCCTTAAATTTCTAAGATAGAAACTTCTATTTATCATTATTTTTCTAATATGAATATAAAAATTTGTTTGGAATTTCTCTCTTTGTAGGAATGTCATTATGGAAAACAAATTTTCAGTCCATTCACAAAGTGTCTTACAAATATATTTTTTCATTTGACTTAAATCCATAACACTTTTTTAGATATCATGGATTCATAAATAAACAATTAACAGGAAATTGCCTTTTAAAAGAAAATGAACAGTTATGTTTATTATAATAGAGTTGTTTTAATCATATAACATTTTATGAAAGGAACATTCATTGATGAGGATTTTTCTAATAATAAACATTGTTTAGAATTAGTCCTTTGGTGGAAATTAATATGTAGATTATTTATTTTTGTAAGAAGTATTATTGTGGCATTTGGAATTGCAGTTTATGTTTTCGGAGAGATTTGCACTTTTTGTCAATGCATTACCTTTTTGTATTGGCAGCTTATACTATCTTACTTGCTTCCAGATGACAACAAAGAAGCTGAATGAAGAATTAGTGAAGTTGAAGGCATATCTTGCAGTTTATTGAAGTTGCTGTCAGCAACTATAAATTCATTGTGAGTATAAAATCCATCACAAGTCCTTTTTTTTAGAACCCAATGAATTAATTAATTAATTCAAACAACGACATCTAAGACATTTCTAGGAGCTGCATGTCCTCTGTCAATGTCAGGGACTCTGACTGCAATACTATTTCCAATAACAACTTCAGAAAAATTTTGAATTAGAAAATTAAACTATTTTTGTGCTTGTTCTTCTTGACCAGATTTAGCACATTCGCTTTCAACTATAATATTGCTCTTTTTTATAAAGTTTAATTTTCAATGTGGATTAGAATTTGATTTTATTTACTTTATTATATCAGTTATTTATTATCTCAGTAATAAATGTTAGTTATTTTTGCACAGATATTTTATCATATTCCATCATGACTGTATTAATAAGTTCCCACAACAAGTGGCATTTTTACACTTCCAGATCATATTTTGGTTAATTATTGTAGTGATATTGGACCTCCTCGCTTGACTGTGGTTTTGTCAGTCCATGTGCAATCCATTTGCATGCAGTCATAAAGGGTAATAAGAAATGTAGACAAAAGGCCATAAAAAAAGAAGGGAGTAAAGGCAGAAAAAGGGACAATCAGAGTAGTTAGGAGGATAATAGAGAGAGGAAGAGTAGTGAAATGGTGGAGTCCAAAAGTGGGATTAAAGACTAAAGTTTTTTTTGTATTACAATATTTGGTTATTTCAGTTCTGTGTGACGAATCAGCAGGACAGAATCCATAGTTCAAATAGGATTCTCTCCAATTATTAAACAAATCTCCACATGAATTTCACTTTGTGGTCTTATTGAATACGTGAAAATGCATTATGGGCATTTTTAAGGAGCCACAATGCAAATTTAATCCAGAAAAATGAATTTAATCCAAAAAACAAAATGAATTATACTTGGACTACCTAAGACATCATGAATGTAGATCTTGTAGAATAAATTTTTCTTTACTTTTAGATAATTTTACTAATAAAAGAAGGAATAATTTAAAAATAAATTTATTATTTCTTCAATAGTCAGATTCATTTCTTTTTTAATATTCTGAATCAAGATTTCAATCTTAAATTGTTTTATTCTTGAATGGCACTTTGTATGTACAAAAGAATTGTGTATTTAACTGTATTTAAGTATTTAACTGGCACATAGGGAAATTTGAATATACAAGAATGAAAAACTCCAGATTAGTTAGTAAAATGAATAAAAAACAAAAAAAAGTGGCTATGATGATAAATATATTTAAAAATTTACAAAAAAAATTGAATAGAAAAAATGTCTTCATGTTTTCTCCTTATTATATCTCAGGAATACAAGGTCTGTTCAAAAAGTATCGGACCTTATTTTTTTCTGCATAAACCAATGATGCGAGAGAGGCCTCCTTCGGTGGAGTTGTGGAGGGGACAGTCATGCACGGCCTTGAATTTTTTCCCGCCTGCAGAAAGCGTCAGTCGTTGGCAATCGGCGTATGAGTGAGGTCATGTAGTGCGCTCTCGTCGGATTTCACTAAGCTGGAAAATGACTGAACAACGTGAGCAGCGATATTACATCAAATTTTGCCAAAAACCTTGGAGATACCCGAGTGTAAACCATTCGCAAGATTCAGCAGGCTTTCGGGGACGATCCTCGAGGCCAAAAAAAACGCGGCAGGTCCGCAGCAATATCAAAGGTCATGTTGACAGTTTTTTTACTCTCGTGGGGTGGTGTGTCGTGAGTACGCACCACAAGGCCAAACCATCCCAAAGGAGTACTACCAGGAGGTCCTTCGTCGTCTTTCCGATACAGTGCGATGCAAACGATGGGATTTGTGGTCGATCAAAACTTGGCAGCTCCATCGTGATAACGCATCCGCCCATTCTGCGCATCTGATTCGGGCTTTCGTCGCCAAAAACAATACTCCTGTGGTTCGTCACGCTCCGTACTCTCTCCACATGGCTCCGTGTGACCTTTGGCTATTTCTCAAGCTGAAAATGCCGCTAAAAGGAACCCAAATTTAGTCGAGAGAAGACATCATGCGAAATGCGACGGACCGGCTGATAACCATTCCAAAAGATGCGTTCCAGCAGTGTTTCCAGCAATGGCAGGAACGCTGGGAGAAGTGTATACATTACCAAGGAGATTGCTTTGAATGGGATTAGGGTTTTGTACCTCAAAGTCAATAAATTTATTTTTGCCGACCAAAGGTCCGATACTTTTTGAACAGACCTTGTATAACAGCCTTATGGCAGAATTAATACAAGATAATAATTTAATAATTGTAGATGCCATCTTATATTAAATTTAATACAAAACCAGAGTTTTTTAACAATAATGTCGAGACCACAGAAAACTGACTACTTAACCACTCAGCAGTGAGTGACAACTATAGTTGTCAAGGGCAATTGTGTGGCAGTGGTAAGGGATGAGTATAGTCGTCAAATTCTTTTAGAGGGCATTGCCAAAAACTAGCCATAAACTATTGCAAAAAAAAAATTCACATAAAAAATATATTATATGACAATAAAAAAAGACTTTTCTTTATTAGACATAACCGTTTACAAAATTCTTTATCGAAAGAGTAATGAGAAAAAATGTGTGGAAAAATACTTTAAAAATTTTCCACGTTTATTCTCCACTACTGGGGGTAGAACCATACCCGACTAGTCCACTGTTGAAAGTTGAAAGTGTCTAGTTATACCTATGATGACTTATGAGGACTCAACTGTAATCAGAATGAAATTAATTAATTTAGAATATACTGGAAAAAAAATCAATATGGAATGGAATTCAAACATGAAACTCTCTTTACTATAAAGTTTCATTGCCAATTATGACATAGGTACACAAAACTAATAACTCTGTCTCTGGTTCTCAGTCCTATGGCCAGAAATAAATAATTGAGGGATAGAGAAGCAAACTGAAAAAAATTGTAACTGTTATTTTTCTTCCATCTGACAGTAAGACCTATTAACTACAGTTTAAGCATAAAAATAAGTAACCATAGCCTAAATTTATACATGAAAGTAAAAGCATCTTATTAATATAACAACAAAGTCTGTTTGTGGCTACATATATTATCTTTCTCAACCAATGGCAGTACTTGATAAGACGTAATATTTATTATTTCTAATTATTTTTTTTGGTTACATTGTTATTATTGATAATAATAGTAATATTCTTATACTATTTATGAATGTTATTAATATTATTATTATATTATCCAAAGTCAGATTGTTGATCAGATAATGGTACTTCATATCATTTGGCATCTCCAGTTTTTTATTCAGAATTTGCCTTATGTCATTCAAGAAACTAAATGAATATTAAGGTCTCTATTACTCAGAAAAAATTGCAAGAAAATCTTTTTCAAAACTGTAAAATTTTTGATATGATTCCATAACTGGGACACAAATGGCAGAAGCCATTTGTATACCATCATAATCCTCCATTTTGTCCTGGTTCAGTCAATTTAATGAATGAGTAGTATTCATTGGGAACATACATTAACTGGAGGAAGGGGTGGGATAAACACATTTCATTTTTTTTCCTCTTGTTGGCCACTTCCAACACATGAACAGTATGCTCATTTGTTGGCAGTCGACAGCAGTTGTCATCAATGAGTTCAATTTTTTAATTTATTTTGTTCTATGAAGCTCCATTCTACTGTAGAATCAACCAGACAATGACCACTTTAAAATGGTAGAAAGATTGCTTTCACCATTAAAGTATCATTTATTTGCTGGATTTTTGTGTTTATTCTCAAAGTACATCCAATTTATCAAATGGTTACTTATATACAAGGTACTATACATACAGAAAGTGAATTCTGTTTTGTAACTCTTGCTACAGCAGCACTACAATCGCAATTATGCATGTCCCGAGTTTGTTGACGCATTTGCAAGGTATTGATGTCATTTGTAGACAATAAGTTATTGCAGACATTTAATAGTTTGTGTTTATAATGTTCAAGAAAATTGAGATGCTCACCACATGCGAGGTGTGCACCATGATTAATTTTTTAAATGCAAGAAACATTAAACCAGCAGACATCCACCAACAAATTTGAGATGTACGGAGAAAATGCAATGAATACTTTAATGATACAGAGATGAGTGTGACATTTCAACAAAAGTCATAAAAACAGTAGTTGGTTACCTTTGGTGACCAACTACTGTTTTTATTACTAATGTTTTTATGCCAAAAGATGTCAGTAGAACAACTTCCTTTCCCACCATAGTCTAGATGTGACACCTAATAACTTTCATTTCTTTTTGTACTTAAAATCTTTTCTTAATGTCTGGAAATCATTGTTGTCATTCCTAGTACATTTGTACTTTTCGAGTACATTGAAAGTACACTTAGATTTTTAGTACATTTTGAGTACATTATAATATTTCAGTACCATTTATGGTACAAAACAATATTTCATGCCTTAACGAAAAAATGTCTAAAAATAGGTTTAATAAAGTCTCACTAGTGTCACTGCTTGCTAATTTGATTTACCCAATCACAACATACATATGGTGTATGTCGGTCAATGTCAACAACATACAAGTCGACCCCCCTATAATTACGGTCCCTATAATTACGATTCCTATAAAACTACGAAAAAATATACGTATTTTGGAAATGTTGAGTCGGATTAGTGTAGAATCGATTAATTTTATGGAAGAAAACCTTTCAATCAGCCATAGTCCGTAAACTTGACACGTGTCGGGCTGTGATTGGAACGACTTGTAAGAAGTCGGATTCCTAATAAATTGGAACGTATCTATATCTTATAGGGGGGTCGACTGTAGATAGTTGCACGTCCAAATGTTATGACTCAGTGGTCCTCTTTCACACGTGTCGGTCATCTAAACATTCTCACTAGGACCTTGACAAAATTTTTCATGCCATGTGGTCCAAACAATTCAACTCTGTCAAACAAAAATAATGGACAGTAAGGTAAGGAAATCAATGATTTTAAACTTCTGTCATCAATAATATCAAAATATCCGTTAAGTCAGAGTCGAATTACAGTCGACCCCCCTATAAGATATAGATACGTTCCAATTTATTAGGAATCCGATTTCTTACAAGTCGTTCCAATCACAGCCCGACACGTGTCAAGTTTACGGACTATGGCTGATTGAAAGATTTTCTTCCATAAAATTAATCGATTCTACACTAATCCGACTCAACATTTCCAAAATACGTATATTTTTTCGTAGTTTTATAGGAATCGTAATTATAGGGGGTCGACTATATTAATATCAAAAGTAACCAACCATAGAAATAGTACATTTTGAAGGAAAATAGTACATTTTTGAAGGAACTTCAGTATGTTTTGAAATTTCATTGTGGCAACTCTAATGGCAATACAAAATCATCAACGAAATCAAAGACCAAGGATTTCTCCCACACCGGGTCATATAAAACTAATATGCGTACTTCTAAACCAATATCTGGCGTGAAAACTCCAAAGATTGGCAAACACTTTCGATGCCCCTCCTGGGCTCTTCTTCAGGCCAAATTTACTGTACTGGATTCTTTAATCGAATGTTTTTAAATAAGAACGTGCTAAGTTAATAGAATTTCAAAAAAAAAAAAATTACCGCACACTTTGCTTCTCGGGCAGTAGATTTCTAAGAAACCAGAATACAACTTGTGCCCTGCTACAATAAGTAACTCAACAACAGAGACAACTATGTCAAAAAATATTATAAATGTGTACATAATAAAAAATTACATTTCTTATAAACTATATATTGCATATAGTCACTACTGACTAATCTGATGGGACTAAATCACCTCATAGCACCACATACATATGGATCTGCTGGTTTCTCAAGTCTTTAATTTCCAACTCTAACTCTTCATAAAAGCTTAATATTTATTAACAACAGTAAACCTACTAAAATGATAAATATATGGTATGGTAGTGAAATGTCTTATAGTTAGCATAGGACATTTCACCACCACAACATGAATCATTAGGCTACTTTTTAAAAATAAATTATAAGTCTATAATTTACATCATACAATTGTTCCTACACATTAATGATTAAATGAAATGTAAAAAATACTTTGTAAATCATTTCTGATAAAGTAAGAACTGCATACCAATATAATACCCTCGACATAATTTCAGCTTATCGTCATTTTTCATTTTTCGAAGATCCATTTCTACTAATTTCAATACAAACAGAAATCTTGAAAGATTGGAAATAAAAGAATGTCATAGGAAGCATAAACAAACCAGTGGAAATTAGCAAATCACCGCTGTTGCCATCTCTATAAAGTATAATAATAAAATTTTAAATAATTTTTTTTATGAAACAAACTATTATATTATTCAAAGTTTTACGTATTAATTATTTTTATAACGATTATTTCTTATTTTAATAAATCGTAATATTTTATTTAAGAAATTAAAAAAATATATATACTGTATATAGTTTATAACTTTCCGTCCTGTGGACACTAACCTAGGTTTGTTAAAAGAGGGCCTCTTTTAACAAACCCAGGAGGGACCTCTTTATGGGTTTGGCCAGGCTTACAATGAGGCGGCCGAGTGGTGAGAGACGGGAGCCGACATATCCAGTCAGACCACTCCCCGAAAAATTTCCGGGGATTTTCCGGGCCGGCCTGATTTGACCCCGCATCCTCCATACGGTCGGATAGCCAAGCGGTCAAGGTAGCAGCCTACCGCTCTGGGGGATCCGGGATCGAATCCGGTCGGGTTAAAGAATCCCCAGGAATTTTTCCGGAGGGTGGTCCATTGGATATGTCGGGTCTCGTCCCTCACCACCCGGTCGCCCCATTGTGGGCCTGGCCGAACCCATAATGGGCCTGCTTTAAGAGTCCCTCTTAGTACCCACGGGGCGGAAAGAGTAAAATAAAAAATAAAGATCCCGGATCTTCCAGAGCGGTAGGTTGCCACTTCGACCGCTCGGCCATCCAACCGTCATTATAGAAATACCGAGGACCAATTAAAAGCGTCCAAACTTTCAATAATTGGTTAAAAGGGGATTTCAGTTTTTCAACGTGCTTGTTAGTTTGAGGAAATGCTTGGCGCTAAAAATGCGGTCTAGGTATCATATTAAAGCTCTTATGCTGTAAATGATGCTGCGAAAGAAAGCTCTGAGAAAGGTACAATAGTTCAGGTGTGGTGGTGTGGCAAAGATACAATGTAAAGTCTACGGGAAGGCAAACGACAGCGGCCGGATGGTCGAGCGGTCAAGGTGGCAGCTTACCGCTTTGGTGGACCCGGGCTCGAGTCCGAACGGGTCGAAAAATCCCCACGAATCTTTCGGGGGGTGATCCGTTCGGATATGTCGGGCCCCATCCCTCACCACCCGGCAGCCCCATTGTGGGCCTGGCCGAACCCATAATGGGCTTGCAAAAAGAGACCGTTTTAGTGCCCACAGGGCGGAAAGAGTTTAAAAAAAAGGAAGGCAAGCGAGAAAGATGTTGGGTACTCGCACGCCATATAGCTACCGTATTTAGTGTTTCTTAACCGTTTGAATTACCCGTTGCTCACCATTACTGTGAATTCTTTCTTTGTTTGCCAATTACATGCTAATTAAAAAACATTATGCATTATTTTTTCCAATTATTTACTGTTGTCAATATTGACCATAGCACCATCTATCGACTTTTAGTGCCAATCTGTTTTCATTTTATATTACTTCATGACAGCACGTATTCTAACGTGCAACCGAACAGAAATTGTGCAATGAGAATTTTGATTGTACAGTTGAAATCTCATATTTATGTGAGGACCCGAACATGGGTCGATTGAGAGGTCCGAATTATGGGTTCGATCGAAAATTAAGAGCTCCTTTTCAGTCGATAAGGAAACGAATTAGGTGTCTCGATTGAACAATGCAATTGTTTTTTTTTCGCGAATCTTTTAAACAATGGAAACGGTTAAATTCGAAGAAAACGCGACGAGAGAGAGGAATCATATTCAGTCGCAAGATGACCTCTCCCGCGCCCTTCATTAGGTTTCGAATTGTCACCAGGTGACTATGAGAGACCAATGGAGAGGCGACGACGGTTAAGAAATCTATAAAAACCGTGCGACTCGAGGAAAAAAGGTTCCTGGTTCATAGCGCTCCTCTCCTGGAATTTTGTGCTTCTGTTATTCTACAGCAAAGACTAGTTCGACGTCCCAGGCTTCGTTTTGGCTAGCCCGTCCCTTCAAGACCCGCCCAGGTGCTCCGAGTCATTGGAGATCATCGATGAGAGTTGTGCTGTGCGCCCCGGGGCCATCGCTCTCCGCTTCACTTACGCTGGACGAACCTAAACGACTATCTGAACATTTGGACTTTTATCTTTGGAAAGGATTCGTTTCCTACCTTTGAATAGGCATTACGCCTCGTTATAAGACATTGTAAGAAAATTTATATATTTAATAAACGGTTACATGGTAAACCTGTCTCAAAGAGTCATTCTGCGCCCACAAGACAGAACGAACCGCTCGGCTGTCGAACACCTCACCCCAAATCGGCTGACCTCACATTTATGCAGTAAGTAATTGTCCGATTCAGGTTTTTATAAGTATTTGTTTCTTCTGATTATGTTAATTAAAGTTCAAATATTTACCTAAATTACACAGAGTGCGATAAAATCTATCCAAAACGGAACTTGAATAAAAAAAAAGCAGCCTAAAAGGAAAAAATTCTTCGGAGCGGTGCGATTTTATATGTTTGTTTATTTATATAATGTAATTTAATTATTTCTTATTTTATATGGTCTGTTTTATGCGGAGTTAATCCTGAAAAGTAAATCGTTGTTGTCAAATCTTAACTTCGTGTAGTTTATATAACCGTATGCATAAAAATATAGTATAATGTAATTACGTAACTTTTTTGTTTCTAAATCTATAAATGAACTTATTGAGAATTAAAAAATAAAAAACAGATTTCACTAATCCAGCGACACAGCTACAAATTTTTCCGCTCGCGGAGCTCCCCTGCGTTTTAGCGCCCGGAGCAACCGCCCGTTCTCTCTCTAGTAAATAGGATTTAATAAAGTTTAAAATTATTTTAGACTTTTCTTTATAAATGGACATTATATTAAAACTAGCAATAGATTTTGATATGGAATTATTACATTACAATAATACAGTAATGCCTGGACTTAAGCTACCCTGACTTACGCGAACCCGGAGTTACCCGATTTTCAAATCTCGTCGATTCGTCTTTTGTTTGAGCGTCACGCAACTCTCGATTACTCACTCTCTCCACACTATTGTTCATCTTACATGTTCGGAAAAAATTCTCAAAGCTGTGAAAAATGCTCAATCCTTAAATTCAAGCATCATTCGTAAACGTCACGCTATTATCGCTGAGATGGAAACAATGTTAAAATTATGGTGTGATAATCAAGTAAATGTGAAAAATTGTATAATAATATAATTTGTTATATATANGACTTTATGTAAGCATTATCGTCCGGAATAAACGGTTTACCTCTGTAAAACACTTGTCTTTGCTACCTTTAAAAACCGCCACCCACATACGCGTAGACCTTAGACCATCCCGACAATAGGGAAAAAAATCCCCCCCAATCGGCGTTCTTGCAGATCCAACCAGAATCTCCATATTAGAAAAAGCCTAACTGAACCAATCTCTAGCCGAGTACAGTGGGACTGATTTCTTCGAAATATTAGATGTAATAAAGACAGACATTTTTCCAGTTCGACGAGAGTGACCGAAAAGTTGTAAATTTTGGGAATTTTTGTGGACAACACCTGGTCCTAAAACGAATTAGTTAGAAAACAAACGATGGACAATCTATTAAGTTTAACGTATTTAGACTTTTACAGCTGTGGTGAGAAACGTTTAAAATTTACAAGAACCCTGTCGCGTCTTTTGAGGTATATTAGTGATGCGACAAAAGAGGCATTTGAAATTGACCGGTATCGGCACCCTCGGGATTTGGCAGCCCGTGTGCATGTACACACCGCACACCTAGCAGGACCGTCTCTGATTCCACTTTAAGGAGCTATTTGACTAAGTCAGGGCCGTGCCGTGCTATGATGCGGCCTGATGCCGCCTGATCATTGCATCATATGATACAGTGATGCGGCCGCATCAGGCGGCACCGTAAGGAGGCGGCATAAGCAGCGAAATCAAAATATTATTTGAATCATTCAATAATTAAAAATTTTTACGCAACGCTTTTCTATATTGATCTATGTTATTCCGATATTGATGTATATTATTAATGATTTATCGCACGCCTCTGCTTATGTGCTTTCGGTACCCTTTGATTTCAGTTTATGGTGCAAATGCATTGTTGGAGAGTGTCAGTCAAAAGGCTTTTGACAAGACAGCGCAAAGCTACTATTGTTTTTTTGTTTGTAATATACCGCGCGACTCTCCTAAAAGCTGAGGAGGCAATTATCATAAAAGACAATTGCACGTGTAACGTGTTGATAGTTCTGCTTTGACCTTNTTGTGCAGTTTTTTTAAATCACAACCGAAGGTATTTTAGAAAAAAACATTTAAGGGGCGGCATTTCGAAGACTTGCATCACACTGAGGAAATCTACGGCACGGCCCTACTTGCATGCATCACTGGTATAAATTAGGGGCAACAAGGGGGGGCGCCATAATAGGATCTCGCTCCATCCTAAAACTTACCTCGGGCCGGCACTGGCTGTGAGATACTTACTTACCATTGCATCATTCATCTAGAAGCGCTTTGTGCACAGACATTTCCAGACGAAATTTGCAAAGTTATGGAATTGGTGACTATCAATCCCATTATAGCTAAAGCTCTTAATCATCGCCAATTTAAAGAATTTTTACTTGAAATGGAGAGTAAGTACGCAGATCTTCTGCTGCATAACAAGGTACATTGCGTTGGTTATCAAGCGGAAACGTTTTGAAACGGTTCGCTTCCTTATTAACAGAAATTAAAGCATTTCTCCTTGAGAAGGATGTTCACTATCCAGAACTTACGAACGATCAGTGGATCCAAAAATTTTATTTCATGGTAGACATTACAACTCATCTAAATCAGCTTAATCATAAACTACAGGGGAAATTAAACACAATTTTTTCGATGTTAGAAGATATTTCATTCGAAAAGAAATGATGCCTTTTTGCTCAAGATTTTGAAAGAGAAACTTTGATTCACTTTCCAAGCCTGTTGAAACATCGCCAAGAAAATAATTCTGATATTGGCATTTGCTATTACAAAACAACAATTTTAAATATGGGAGAAGCTTTTCTCAACAGGTTTCAGGAATTCAGAAACAGCAAAGCGACGTTAGCCTTT